TCCCCTTAATCTTTCACTGCTGATCATGGTGGCTAATATGGTCTGACAGAAGTTGAAGTTCAAGAACATCTGGAGGGCCACATGTTTCCCAGCTTTGACACAGAAGGCAGTTAATGAAAGGAGCATGGTGAAACAAGCAAGCAAGCAGAGGATCTCTGCAGGCATTTTTCACAAAGAAGCACAATCTGTAGGTTTTCATAAAACTATTGTGTTAATTCCATGTGAACGGTCTCATGTGGGACACTTGATTCAGAAAGGATTGGGAGATCTATGTGATTATTGCATGCTAAAATTAGAATAAGTTCAATTCATTATTCCAGAGAAAATACCCTAAACCATGCAAAAAAAACAAAAACAAAAAAAACCTCACCATCTCCTACAGTTCCAGCTGGAAGAAAGAAGAAAGGGTGATGGTTAACATCTGTAACCAATGTTTATACAAAACAATTCCTTCCCTCACCACAATTAATTTCAGCTACATGTTTAGAAAAGATCAATGGCTGAGTAACACAAAATGATTGCCCAACATTCACTGAAACCAGCTGGAGGTTTGGAAAAGGCAGAAGCAGTGCCAACATGGAAGTAGGTAAGATGCTCAATTTTTAGAACTTTGGTTTGCTTTTCTGTAAAATTAATTGAAATGGATTTGGGCTATGAAATAATGGCTGAGCTGTCCTGATACAACCTTGGTTATTATCTCTAGATTACCCAAACTGTAATTGCCCGTTTGGAGGAATAAAACCACTTTTGCCTGGCATGTCATTTGCAATAGAGATCTACTCTCCTTATGAATCCCAGGAAAAAATACGAAAAGAAGCTTATGCCCAGATTTTCACTCTTCTGTAAGCAAAGCATTTTTTTAAACTTCTGCTTTTAAGTATGAATGCCAAATGAATGGATGCTGAAGAGTATCTCCTATTAGAATAAGACTCTAGCTGGACTATCTGGAAATCACTTAATAGACTTCAAAGTGAAGTAGGAAGATCAAAGAACAATCAAGTAAAATGGGGCTACTTGGAAACAGGACAATTTTTCTGCAACTTATGTGCATGCAATTTATGCCCCACCCAACTGTGGAGAAGAAGTTCAACCAATGCACCACTTATGTGCATGCAATTTATGCCCCACCACATGTACAAAACAAAATCTAGCAAATGCTATTAAAGTACCCCACTTCTGGTTAAAAAAAAAATTAATTATCTTAACATTTTAACTTGACTCAATTTTACCTATATTTCATATATGTCCATAATGTTAAATTGTGCAACACTATTATATGAAGAAAGAAAGAAAGAAAGAAAGAAAGAAAGAAAGAAAGAAAGAAAGAAAGAAAGAAAGAAAGAAAGAAAGAAATTCTACAGATCATATCTTGCTCATTTCATCTTGATTTGTCTTCTGCAGAGGTTGTAATTATTTTGATCTCTAGTTTCCACAAACCTTCATGCATCACAACCTCGATAGATGAAGCTGTTTCATTTTATCTGATTTATGATTTTTTTTAAAAATTGAACCCTTACTCTTCCAAATATGAAGAATTTTGCTAAGTTGACAGAACTCTTATACAAATCAACTGAAATGAATTCCTTACCTGTGACTACTGCAAAACTAATGTAGAAAGCTACATTAGTGCAAATGGAGGTTTCCTTCCTAAAAACATATATCAAATTTTTCTGGGGGCAGGATGGAGAGGTGATTTTTATCAGGACTACAGCAAAAGGAGGAAGAGTTGAAATCCTATATTCTCTATATCCATGATGCTGCTCAGGCTCTCCCCAAACTGCTGCTTATTTAACCAAACCCACACATGTTGGTTGCATTCACTCTTAGTGTAACATTTAATCAATGTCTGAAAAATGTCCATTCAGAGGTTGTCATTTCTTGTGATCCAGAATTTCCATATGTACAACTGTATGAACATGGTGTTGCTATAAATGCCAGCTTTCGTCTTCAAATCAACAAAGGAATCCAGTGTTTACATACAGTCCCTTTCCACACTCAAAACTGCTTCACAAATGAGAAACATCTGAGTTTTGAGGAGTATAATTCCCAGAATCGCCAGCCAGTCCAAAAATACAATGTCTCCCATCTCTGAGCTGCTCCTTGTATTCCAGCAAAGGTAGAAAACCTTGGCTTTTGTACAATAAAATGCAGATAAAAACATGGAAGAATATAATTCAAAAAGATAAGGGAAAAACTTACTTGGTTTATATATTTCATCTGTTAAGACAGAAACAACAGGAATAAATGTTAGAAACATGGCAGCAGCAATGATGATGGATTATTTAATACTCCTCAAATATTGTATACGTAATAATTCTCTGAGAATAACTTCAGTCCTTTAGCCTTTATTAACTTTAATCCTTTCTTGAAGTGGAGCGAGGTCTTTTGTTTGATTGAAAAGAGACATAAAACTGGCATCAAAAGAGCAAGTCCATAATAACTGATAAGAGAAAAAAAAAGTCCTACTGATAGACTCAATTTTAGTCTCTCTCCCCCCACCCCACCACCATACGTAAGGGCCTGTTTCCTTCTACACTGGCCTTGTGAAAACCCAGCTATGTTATAACCTTGAGCAAGTCACATAGTGGTTCTTGGATTTCTGTGCCTGTGGCATCAGAACAACTGGCATTTTAGGAAGAATGCAAAATAATTCTTGTGCCAGGCCTTTTCAATAACCTGCATGAGCCTTTGGTTTGTACAGCAAGTCCAAAGAGAATGAATTTCACATCTGAAATACAGTACTCTCAAGTATTATGTTGCAAAACAGCTCCAAGAAAGGTATAATCAAAGACTGTTCTTACGTTACAAGCAATGAAGAGTTGCTCTACCCTCTTAATGTTTGATCTTGAACCATCCAGTAATGTTTGCATCGCCATATTCACAAGGGAACTTTGGCCCATATGGGACATTCTGTCATGAATTCTGCCCCTGGCCAGAAAGTAGCAGACAAGCTGCAGAAACTGCACACACACACTCCCCCTACCATATGGTTGTAGTTATCTAAATGTGACCAGAATGATATGGGAACAAACTTTCAGTGAAAGAGGAGGATGCGGCCCTAATAACTGCTGAGAATTGCTCCGTGGGCAGTGTGTAATAGGAAGCATATGACCCAACTGTGAAATCTTCAACTTTAATTGCAATTGCATGGTTCATTCCAAACAATCAGCAACAGAGTGCATAAAGGGATGGGTATAGATCATAGACCCAGTGTGGAGTAGTGGACAGAGTGACAGACTTTGATCCAACCCCTTCTAACCCCTGCTCAACCATGGAAGACAGAGAGAGAGAGAGAGAGAGAGAGAGAGAGAGAGAGAGAGAGGTACATTTGTTGCTACAGTATGTGCTGTCAAGTTGGAACAGACTTAAAATAACTCTAGTAGGACTTTCAAAGTAAGTGAGATATTTAAGGAGTAGTTTTATCAATTCCACTCCCCTAGAGAGTTTCTATGGCCGGGTGGGGATTCAAACTCAGGCCTCCTGAGTATTCATCCATCCCTCTGTCCATTATACTACACTGATGACCATCAGCATTGGTAAAACCACTCCTTAAATATCTCATTTAGTCTGAAAGTTCAGTTAGGTTATACACATAACATATATATATAAGCCATGTAGCATGAACCTACAGCTTGTATCACTTGGTAAGATGATAATGAACATATTTATAGCAACCTCGTAGCACTCTAGCTGTCATGGCTGCATCCTAGAGAATACTGGGATTTGTAGTCTGAGCAGAACCTTAGAATTCCCTGCTGTAGTTCAGAGGAGTAATTCACTTAACTACAAAGCAGTTCACTATAACAGTTAAGGTGCTATCAGACTGCTATGCCTGTGGAGTACAAACATATGCACAGCACTGTACAAGAGGCCTCACATAACTGTTCTAACTATTCTGGAGGAGTAGCTGATAGTAGCCTACACCAATTTAACAAGTTGATGAAGACAATTTCACCACTCAACAGATGTAGGAGTTTGGTGAAATGATCAGCATTCACCCCAATACCTTGCCAATGTTATTTGGCATTTATACATGGTAGGAGCTTAATTCTGAATCTGGAACTATTGAACAGCATGAATTATCCAGAAAAGTTGTAATTAAACAAAAAAAAAAATCATTCAGGGATAAAACAGCAAGAAAGATCCTTAGCTTGCAGAATTTCCAGCTCTGGCTACATGTGTGCTGGTTTGCTAACAATCATTGTGGATAATTCATTATGGAAACCCCATTTGATGCTGTTTCCTTTTAACAAAGGGGAGTGACAACTACTAAACCTTAGGAGGGGGGGAGGAGATGAGTCTGAGCATGACAAGCCACATATCATCAAGAGGTTACTTAGAAAATACAAGAAATTGAATAATTCTACTTGTTGTTATATACTTTTGGTGCAGTTTCAAAAAACCAAGTAGGTAAATAGATGGTTGTTGTGGGTTTTTCGGGCTCTTTGACCGTGTTCTGAAGGTTGTTCTTCCTAATGTTTTGCCAGTCTCTGTGGCCGGAAGATGCTGGCCACAGAGACTGGTGAAATGTTAGGAAGAACAACCTTCAGAACATGGCCAAAGAGCCTGAAAAACCCACAACAACCTTTAGATCCTGGCCGTGAAAGCCTTCGCGAATACATTAGGTACATAGACATTGTGATGAGTTACCACTTGGTCAAGCAACCTCTTCCTCTGTACCAACATGCTAGAGGATTTTCAGGATAAAATCATTGCTTGTGAAAGTCAACATATACCTTGGCAGAGAACAGTGGCATCCTGTTCATGGGTGCAATCATGTATTCCCCATCCACGGTTCTCACACTCCCACAGGTAGGCTTCATCCCCCTTGCATTGTACATTGTCCAAGAGGATTCTGCCTGAGCCTTCACCAAACTTTGGCCAAGGAAACGCTGCAACAGCATCCCCACATCCCAGCTGCCTGCAGACCACTCGAGCATCCTCAATATCCCAGTTGTTGCCACAAACAGTCCCCCAGGCTCCTTCATAATAAATTTCAACGCGGCCCTCACAGTAGTTGTACGTGTCGGCCAGTCTCAGGGACAATCCTGCACAGGATAAAAAGTAAATATGTCAACATTGTTAACTTCCTGCCTTATTGAAGGCCAAGATAGGAAAATGAAAAGGGATTTCTCCAATTTTTGGTGCTCTGAAACCACTGTCACAACTGCACAACTGTCACAACTGCACTGCAGGCCAGGTGAGAGGAGGAAAAGAAAGAGACAGCTATGTGGAAACTAAGGAAGGTGCCACTGAATTTTCTGTGCTGTTTCTGAGGATTCTAAGGAATGTTCTGGGGGGATGCTGTTGTTGTTCTAAGCTAGGCTTTTTCCACAGATGTTGTCCTTCTCAGATTGGCCAGCTGGCCCATACCAATTTAAAGAAACTGTCAGTACACAGGTCCTCAAAAATTCCTGCACTTGTTATAAAAACTGATTGTAATAAAGTTGTGACCTGTATTGAACCAGCCATTCGCTTGTTCTTGTCTTTTTTTCCTCTCTACCTCTTTCATGCCTGTAAACAGAGTAAAGAGAAACTGTGCAGTTGTCTGGATAATCAAAATTAATGGTAAGTAATAATCCTCTTACTTACATAAAATAGCAGTCAAATTTTGTTAGCATTATACCTTGTGTAAACACTGCATAGATAACATCACCTGTTCTTGTAAACTCCCCCCCCAAATGCTAGTTATTTAATGACCAGTGTTCATAGTAAACAAAGGTCTGTTAACATGACCTTTATATTGCCTATTACATGGGGAAATATATCTGTGAAGATTCTCACTCATCCAGGTGAGGTTATCTGAAAGTGGTGTCACCGCAACTGGACTTCTTATTAGGTTGAAACATTTTGCTACTCATCAAAGCAGCTTCTTTAGTCTGAGGAGAGTTGGTAGGAGACCCCTGATACATCCCCCAAGTTGGTTTCACTTCCCCCTGGTCTGAATAGGCTTGTTAGAAGGACAAAGGACTGGGGGTGAGAGAAAATCCACTTCTGCAATCCTTCTCCACCCATTGTTTTGAGTCATTAACAATTGTTAACAGTGATCTTCCCCTGAGAGAGGGGTCAGGGAAGCCATATATTTGCATATATGAAATCCCTCATTCATCAGGGGAGGAGGCCTTAGATACAACCTGTCTCCTATTTATCATGCTGCCCTTTCATCCATCCCCAGAAAGATTAGGACCACATACACCAGGAAGACCACTGTTATAGACTGTTAACAACCTATGACAGTGGGTGGAGAAGGACTGTAGAAGTGGGATTTTCACTCACTCCCAGTCCTTTGTCCTTCTAACAAGCCTATTCAGACTAGGGGAAAGTGAAACCAATGGGGAGAATATATCAGTGATCTCCTACCAACTCTCCTCAGACTGAAGAAGCTACTTGGATGAGGAGCGAAGTTTCAGCCTAATAAGAAAGAAGTCCAGTTGCCATGACTCAACTTTCAGATTGCATGGGGAAGTGAAGTGAAAGGCCACTGCCTTCCCATTCCATTAGCCTGGCCATCTTGTCCTCTAGACCAGTGTATGTGGGGAGTAGATTGGTTGGTGGTATGCAACCCCCTGTAACTTATCTAGAAATGTAGTTGCCAGCATCACAAGGAAAGCTGGCTTCAGAAACAAGCCCCACTGCTCCATTCCCCACTGAAAGCATGAAATAAAATTAGGTGATCTGTTGGAAATCTTTATATCACAACATAACCAATTACTTACATAGGAGTAGATACTACTGCACTCAATGGGAGTTACTTTTCAATAGCCACATTCATGTTTATTCTGTTCTATTCTCAACTTCTGGTGCTTACCTGGTGTTATCGGTGCAATTGTGGTCGATGAATCTGGTCCTGTAACATCATAATAACAAAAAACAGCAACAGCAAAAGAAGTTACTATTAATCTGGAGATTCTCTGGAAATGAAAAATTTATCTGTACACTCAATATAAAGATGCCCTAATTCAAGATGGGTTGAAATAAAAGATGTTGAAATCAATTACACAGATTCTTTTAAAAAATGGATTGGATTTTACTCCATTAAATGAGAATTTTCTTTAAAAATGCCATATCCCTCTTAAATAGTAAAAATGTTAGCATCACATAACATAACATGAATATTACCTCTCCATATTAACTTCTGAATCAATTTCATCAGGTTAATCTCTGAATCAGTACCTCCACCAAAAGCTAAAACTTCTAAACAAGACAATTTTCTGTCTAAATGAAGAACTAATCCAGTTGTTTCTCAGATATGCATATTTGTCGTCATTTAGTCATTCAGTCGTATCCGACTCTTTGTGACCTCATGGACCAGAGCACGCCAGGCCCTCCTGTCTTCCACTGCCTCCCAGAGTTGGGTCAAATTCATGTCGGTAGCTTCGGTGACACTGTCCAACTATCTCGTTCTCTGTTATCCCCTTCTCCTCTTGCCTTCACACTTTCCCAACATAAGGGAATTATTTACAACCTACCAAATAGGCATTTAATTTACAATTGATAAATATAAACTACTATAATTTGTCCAGTCACTGGAAAGCCTTATTTCAGCTCATGGACATTCCTTTTTTCTTTCTGCTTTGATTTGGTGAGGGCGAGACTGGGCAGAGTGAAGCAGAAAATGGCAAAAGGGGACTGGGAGATTGTCTAATATGCAGGTTCCTAAATTCCCATACTTAACCTCACAAATGATAATGAGAATTAAATTATTGCAAAAGATCCCATATTGGGAATATTTAAAGATTTTTCTGCAGCTGCCAACTGTGACAAGATACAACCAACTCATTCACCCATTCCTACCAAGAAAACAAAACAAAGCCCTTTTAAAAACCACCTTCAGGAGTGTGGGGTTTGGGATATTTTTGCTTCACCTTCTACCAGGGATGGCATTCAGGTGGCAAAGGTTTCTCCAGCTATAAGCTTTCAGTGTAGAGACAATCCCCTTACCACGGAAAACATATTTTAAAAATCAGTACAAAAAAATTCAGCAGATCATTTCTAGATTTTCCACCAAATTTTGAATGCTATTGTTTGAAGGCCAATGGTTTCCAAGGTGGATTAGCAGCAGATGCCCCCCTTCAATAGGAGCATTTCTATTTATTGCTAATCTATCAAATGTTCAAGGTTTCTAAGGAGATGCAAAGGATTTCTGCATGGATTTCATCAAGATTTTTGAAAGAGTTTTGATCCATTCCTTAAGGCCAACTTTTTAAAACGGAAGAGAAGTGAGGTAGTGTGGACAAAAATCATTTTAAGATTTGCCCTTAGGTGACACTAAATAGTATGAACCTGCACAAAGTGGGAAGTAGCAATGCACTGCTCAGACGAGACCTAGTTGTCAATTAGTCAGAGTTTGGAAAAGTTACTTCTTTGAAATACACCTCCTATGACTCCCACTGACCTTCTCTGTTGCCAAACTGAATTATGGATTTAAATTGCTTTTATGTAAATCAATCCACTATACACCAAATATAGCTTTGCAACTTGTTTGGTGTAATTCCCTACACAAGAAAATCCCAAGCACCAAAGGGTGAGGGAAAGTTGGATCCAATGGAAGGGAAACTGATGTTACACATCTAATCCCACAGGGGAAAGCCAGATCTTTTGACTGTATTTAAAGGCCGAATCCTTCTTCAGCTAGTATAACAGACCTCACCTGTACATGACAGCTTGAGCCAAGGTGAGACGTATAAGCAGTTCTACTATCGTTTTACAGTTTTAAAATATATGATTTTATAAATAAGGAATGATTGGTTTTGGAGACCTTTAAATTACTGCATTGAAGTACTTCCAAAAATCTTTAGTGCATGTGTTGCGTGTGCCCTTATCCAGCAAAGAGACATTTGTTTGGTGGTGGTAGTGGGTGATACGTTGTCCCAGAGCTGTATAGGAATATCGGATTATATCCAACAGAAAAGTAAAAAATTAGTGGAAACAGTAGCTGTTCTGTTTTAAGAGGCTTTACAACAAGAACAGGCCCTTTTAGCAGGTCTAGTGGCCAATTTCACTTTACTTTATTTAGACTTATACCCCGCTCCTCAAAGTCTACTTGGAGTGGCTTACATAAATGATAAAATACAATAGAATAACATGCATAATGATACCTAATAATAAAACCAACTAACTAATAGATATATACATTGTCAAGATGGAGAAATTGAAGAAGCAAAGCAATTTTAAACCCCACCTCTGATCAACAATTCATTTGGAGTCCTGCACACTTATTTATCACTAAGTCCCACTGAGCACAGTTGGGATTTATTTGTTAGACTGATATCCTCCTTTTCTTCCAAAGAATCTCTCACTCTCCTCCTCCTCCCTTTGTTTCCACAATAACTCTTTCAGATAGATCAGGTGAGGAGATTATGACTGCCCTAAAATCACAAAGTGACTTTCACATCTCAGTAGGGATTTGAACTCAGGCCTCCTGAGTCTTCATCCAACATTCTAACCACTACACTCCTTAAGGCTAACACTCTGTTGTGCAGCAGTGCATCATCCTGAAGATGCCTGTAGTTTTAAAGATAACACTTCTACCGACTAGCATTTAAATATACATGTATTAATGGCAGTGGTGCCATTAGGATGGGACTTTGGGCCCATAGTCTGTAGTCCCGCTTGGCAGAATGAACAGGACAACCTCTAAACCACAGCAAGGCTACTATATTGATTTGCAAAGTAAATAAAGGAACACATAGTACATCTAACCGGCACCTCACCCCACCCTTAAAATCAAGAAATCCAAAGCCAGAATGCACTGAACTGCACCGTCTGAACCTCTAGCCATGCATGTTACTTGTACAAATGTCCCTGGCAGTTAAATCTTTTTCAACTCTGCTTCCACTTTCAGCCTCATTTTAATCTTTCCCCTCAGGAAGAACTCTCACTTTGCAGACACAGCTATAGAAAGCACTTAAGCGGATTACCTGAGCTGACGTAACAAAGCATTCCTGCAACTACCGTTAAGAACAGAGTGGGAGGCATCCTGATGGGGATCCTCTTGGTCAATTTTTGGTACAAGGAATGCCTCGTTTGAGTTCTTTATATGTACTGACTATCTGGAGAGGTGCGGCTTTATGTTCGCTTTGCCACATGTCCTTGGAAAATAAGTAAATAAATAGGTCACAAAAACCGGGAAGTAGGGCTGAGGGTGGACTGTTGCAACCCATCGTTCACTGACTGCTGTCCTTGTTTTTTTAAGTAATTAGATTAGTTTAGAAGAGATTATGCTTGCAAATGGCTCAGGGACTTTGGACAATCCATCCTCTAATGCCAGCTTAACCTCTGCCTCTGGAGATAGACCATTTACTTTAGAAGAGATTTGAGCCTGAGTCTAGACAATACGAAAATGTAAAGGCTTCTTCAATTTGTTGTTGTTGTTGTTGTTGTTGTTGTTGTTGTTGTTGTTGTTGTTGTTGTTGTTGTTGTTATGTGTCGCTAAGTCACCTTTGATTTATGGTAACTCCATGAATAAGCAATCTCTAAAATGTTCTGCCCCCAACAGCCCTGCTCAGTTCTTCTAAACTCAAGCCTATGGCTTCCTTTAGGGAACCAATCTGTCTCATATTTGGTCTTCCTCTTTTCCTGCTGCCTTCAAACTTTCCCAAATTTACTGCCTTTTCCAGAGAATCTTGCTTTCTTCTAAAGTGCCCAGAGTAGGCCAGTCTCTGTTCATCATTTTTGTCTCCTAGTTCAGGCTTGATTTCCTCTAGGATCCATTTGTCTGTCTTTCTGGAAGTCCAGGGTATCTGCAAAGTTCTCCAGCACCGTATTTCAAACAAATCATTTTTTTCCTGTCAGTTTTCTTTACTGTCTAGCTTTCACACCTGTATGGCATTACAAAGGATATTCTTGGTCTTGGTCTCCAGTGACACACCCTGACACTTGATAATCTTTTCGAGTTTCTTCATTGCTGCCCTTCTGAGTCTCAAGTCTTCTGATTTTTTTTGGCTGCATCTCCATTTGGCTTGATGATTGAACCAAGATATTAAAAAAACTTTAACCATTTCAGTTTCTTAATTGTTGACAATAGCATTGTGTAGTTTTTCTGTAGTCATGATTACAGTGAGAGAGTTGCCTCAGGCAACAGAACTGGGTGTTGTGAAAAGGTAGCAAATTGTTAGTTTTTTTTTTACTTCGCCATTGCATTTTAATTGGCAAACCAACAAGAGATTTCCTCATATAGGGTTAACTTGTCCACCTTTGGGTCCTATACACCTTGACCATTTTTGGATGGGGAATCAGTGTCATTGGGTGGTCTGATTCAGGCTATAAAATACCTTGGGTCAGCCTTGCCTTGAAATAATGACCAAGAAACACAGCTAAAGATAAAAGAAGATCTGAGGAGACATCAGTGATGGTCATAGGATAGGAGTGGGAGGATGCCAGAGATAGAAACAGCCATTTCTTTCCTGTGCTTTCTTTCACAGAGTCCAACCTCCAAGTCTCAAGTGCACGTTGTAAGGGCCATATTTCATTTTTCCTTGATTGAACTCCTTTGCTTCATTTTTGCTTGAAGGTCTTATATATTTTGAATAACTCCCAGGCTCTTGGGATTTATGCTGAGACATAACCTGTAACATGACTTGAAAAAGTGCTCTGAGATTCCAGGGTCAACAGTGTGACATTGCAAGAGGAAGTAATCTGCTTTTGAGGTATTTTCCCTTTCTTTGTCTCTGAATTTCCTGTTGTGAAATCATGTGTAGGCAAATACAAGCTGAACAGAGTTCTTTAAGGAAATAGCTTCTAAGAAAAGGTCATTGGTATAGCCACAGAATTGAGTCTGCAGTTTCTGAGTAGAACTGTCAATGCAAGGAGCATTTTGAGAATCTAATTATATGGGGTAGCATGTCTCAGGTTTTGAACTTAGAATAAGGTTTTGGAATCCATTATCTGGATCTCAGGGTCTTACATTTCACTAATTGAGATGCTTCTAGTTCTTACTTGGCAATCCACAGTCTTCTGGCTTCACCACATGACATTCAAGTGTGGCTAGATGTACCCTTGACCTTTTACTGTAATTGGCCAGAATCCTGTTATTTATGCCCACTGGCATAATTCTATTAGCATCTGTTTCAGCGGCAAATTGTCACCAGTTCAGAAGTTGGTGCTAGCTTTTCTTATCACACAGCAGTCATATGACTTGGCAAGCAATGAGAAAAAGACAGCATCCATTCATTTGTCATTGTTGTTTAGTCGTTTAATCATGCCCGACTCTTCGTGACCCCATGGACCAGAGCACGCCAGGCCCTCCTATCTTCCACTGCCTCCCGTAGTTGTGTCAATTTCATGTTGGTTGCTTCGCAGACACTGTCCAGCCATCTCATCCTCTGTCATCCCCTTTTCCTCTTGCCTTCACACTGTCCTAACATCAAGGTCTTTTCCAGGGAGTCTTCTCTTCTCATGAGATGGCCAAAGTATTGGAGCCTCAGCTTCAGAATCTGTCCTTCCAGTGAGCACTCAGGGTTGATTTCCTTTAGAATAGATAGGTTTGTTATCCTTGCAATCCAGAGGACTCTCAAAATCCTCCTCCAGCACCACAATTCCTTAACTGGTGGCAATTCACCACTGGAATTTATGGGGTTAGATTGGTATAAAACAATTAATAGGAGATTGGCCATTTTTTTTGCACTATTAGAGCACCACTGTTTAATGAGGATATCGAAAGGTGGAACAAATCCAGTGGAGGGACACCAGGTTAGCAAAATATCTGGAAACCAAACTCTATGAGGAGTGGCAGAGGGAGCTGGGTATGCTTAGTCTGGGGAAGAGATGACTGAGAGGCAGTATGATTGCCATCTTCAAATATTTGAAAAGCTGTCATGTGAAAGATGGAGTGAGTGTGTTTTTGTAACTCTAGTGGGTAGGGTCTGAGGTAATGAATTCAAATTATAAAAAAATTGATTTAGCCTAAACATGAGGAAGAATGTTTTTACAATAAGAGCTTTTTGATTATGGAAGCACGTCGTGACGATGGTGGATTCTTTTTCACTAACAGTTTTTAAACAGAAGCTTTCCTTTCAGGGATGCTTTAGGTATGAGTTTCCTGTTTTGGCATAGAGTTTGGATGCAGTGACTTGTCTTCTGCCAATAAAATGTTATGCTTCGGTGTTGTGGAGGAAGGCCAAATATGAGATCGATTGACTCAACAAAGGAAGCCACTGCCTTGTGTTTGCAGTCCTGAAACTGTGTATGATAGTACATTTTGGAGGTCACTCATGAATTCTAAATGAGAAGGAAACAGAAGACTTTTTAAAAAAATATTGTCTACATTTTAACATAGCATAGGCACAAAAGTTATTTTTAACAATAATAGAGCCATGTTGCTGCATTTTATACTACATCAAATACCTTTCCTACCTGTAAAGTGAGTAACATGAGTGAGAAAAATAGTGCTTGAAAGCTCAATGCCATCACTGGACATAGTCTAACATGAAGACGATTCATCATCCTTCTGAATCATACACAGTTCAAGCATAAGAATATCTACACAGTCCCACAGTAAAGTAAATATACACAGGACTGCAGCCATAAGCCATATATTTTGGATTGCGCAATGCTAATGGAAAAGCACAAGAGGTGGCATGTATTCTGCTAGCAATTTTACAAGCACTGGTATATTTACTGAAGTCCTAGGAACAAGCAAAATCTAGTGGAGGAAAGGGGTTTTCTGGAGTTATAATGCACTCTCATATTTTGCTGGCACACACGTCCCTCAAACAATTTTTCTTTTCTTCTTCTTTTATCTATGCCTTCTAAGGAGTGTAGAGCCACTATCATTTTGGCCTTCTTGGGCCAGTGTTAGGTTGAAGTACCTAGAGTAACAAAGGTACAGTGCTTTTGGAATAGGAGAGAAATGAAAGCACAGTGGACCCTCTACTTACAGAATTAATCTGTATTGGAACGGTGGCTGCAAGTCGAATCTAAATTTTGCGGCCAGAGAAGTCTGTAACTCGAAAAGTCTGTAAGTCGAGCCATCTGTAAGTCGAGGGTCCACTGTATTGAAGCGGATACCAATATACATTTAAAGACAAAGTTGCCTTTTACATTGAGTAGTAGCTTTCCGTTAGAAAAAGATGTAATGTGGGAAACTTCTGCTTAAAGGTTGTAGCTGCATTCTGTTTCAGTAACTCCTGGCAGGAAGTGGCAGCTGCCAATAGGCAGGGTAACCCCTTATTCTGCCCTTTCACTTAGAGGTATAGCACAAGATCAAAGAGTTATTTCAGCCAATCCTAGTTGCAATTATATAACTAGTATCCTAACTGAATTCTAACAACATACTATGTAATCATGCTAAGCAAATAAAAGAGCTCTCAGGGCGTTGCCTCTAGGCTCCGCTGGCTCGGCTCGGACATCCGTTGTCGACTCCTTTGTTCTTTCTTTAAGGCAATTAGCCTTCTTTTGTTCTGTGATCACCCACAATGTAACACTTTGAAAACTATAATATATGTAAAATACAAAACTCTGGTGGGTAATTTGCTGATATTAACCTGCATTTTTTGACAACTCACTATAAAATGTAGGGCCTGCAAAGCAGATAAATTGTGTTACATTTTGGCAGTTTAAAGTTAATGCTTAACTTTACCTTGTAAATTTTTATGGAAACTGAGAAACCTCCCCCCTTCCTTATTGTTTTAATGCACACTGGAAAGCTGGTTTACTGAAAATACATAACCAGGCATTTTGGGTGGTTGTTCACGTGTTCGTATTTTGTTACCTGTCACATGTAATTTTGAAATTGTAAAAATATAGTTCAACAGTATATTAATTTTAAGAGGAACAGACTTCGGAATGAAAGTGAACATTAAATATGACCTAGTGTAATAACATTTGGCAGACAAATGATTTTTATTTTTTAGCTTTGGAAATGGCAAATATTTCTGTCCAGAAAAAGAAGTCATCTAAACAATGCATATCAATTCTCTCCCTTTGTACATCTTTCAAAGCCTCAGAGAAGGAAACATGACAAATAAGTTGGATAAGAGGATTAATTGTGTTTGGAAACACCACATAAATTATCAACATATCCTCCCTCCATCACAGAGCTGGGAAAAGGTACTTTTCCACAGTGGAACGTGGATGGTC